CTTTGGCAATTTCCGGCATAAAGCAAATGTGGACGTTTGTTCTCGTCTTCGTCACAAGTTTGATAGGGAGCCAACTTCTCATCACCGTGTTGCTTCTAAAAGCAACCCCCTGTGGTTGTGTTACCTTTGATCAGACAGAAACCGTTAAAGCTGCCTCACTGCAAGAGAGAAGAGGAGCAAGTGGGAAGGAAAGTTCCTCCGCCTGACATCAGTGAGCTAAACCTGGGGCTTTGCTCCGACTTGCCCTCGTATATCAGAGCAGAAATATGTGTTCGCCTGAGGCACAACAGGACATGGATACAGAGCCGGAATGAGAGGGAAATGGGTTTCTGACACTGAGGAGATGCTAACCCACCAGATATAACCCCAAATCATCAGATACAGACATTCATTTGATACTCACTTCTGCACTTAGTCTATCAATGGAAAACATATGGGACCATCTTTTTTCAATAATTGCATTCATGTCACCGTTTCATTCAGAAAATAATCTCAGACATGACGCAAGAAACATTTCATATTTATTTTCTTGCTATTATTGATACCCACGGTGTCTGGTAATGTTTTAGGCTTTTAAGAGCTTTTTCACTGTTTTTCTTTGACTCTTTCTTTGGTGTATTTGCAATAAGTCTGAATGACCAATTTCCAAATGAAAAAAAAACAAATAGGACACCACCTGAAGTTGGAAATGTGAATTTAAAACTGAATTTATATATATAACAGATCTGCTTGTAAAGTGTTGAAAAAGTGCAGAGGTAAATTGTGTACCAGGGTTTTTGATGTCACCAGCTTTGCATTAAAGACTGCAAACTTCTAGAGACTGAAATTGTTGCACCTTCTTCTTTGTAAAGTAACTCAATCTTAGCCAGATTGGATGGAGGGCATCTGGGAACATTAACTTTCAAGTCTTGCTGCACATTTTCACATTGTATTTAGCTTGACTTTGATTAGACCGCTCTGTCACATTAATATGAGCTCATTCCAGTTTTTGGAGCCACTTCCAGGACTGTCTGCTCAATCCATCTTCCCACCAAGGCTTCCTTGTCCTACCCCAATATTTTACTGTGGGTTTCAAAACAACTAAAATATTGTAACATAATTATGGGAGTAAGAAAAAAGTTGTTTTTAGCTTCAGGTTGAAAACATTTGTTTGTTTTAACACATTTTTTGACACTCGCTACATGCTGTGAAGATTTCTCCTAACGTCAGTCACTCACTATTTTTCTAATTGATGCTCTAACAAGATGACATGTAAAGAAAAAAATTATATTCTGTAGCAGAAACAGATGGAGGCTCAGGTTGTTTAAATGAATTAAGACAATTTATAGCATAAAGTTTGACATAAAACCTGGAATCAGTTTGTCTCGGGGTTCCTCTTCCTTATGAATCTTTTTCATTGTCTTTTTATGGAACAAAATGAAAGACACTTTTATTTTTTTTCTTCATCTGTATTACACTGGAAAGTAACATTGTTTTTTGGAATGCAACATTATGCATATGTCAAGCTGGCCTACTTGTGTTTCTCAAACAAATCATGCCGAAAGCAACCAATTACCCCTCTGTTCCATTAGCGAACGCCTCCTGATTCCCGACATGACAAACAGCCGCTGGTAATCACCCCCTTTTCCCGATTGCATGTCAGCAGCAGAGCGGCAGATGACAAACAGCCTCCCACAGCCACAGTGGCAGCAATGTTCTCGGTAGAGCGCATATGAGGGCGGGCCTGTCGCTACCTGTCCAAGGTTGACCTTTCGTGACCCAGAGTCTGATTCTCGATCCGTATCTGCCCGACCGAGGCTCCGGCCCAGGAAGCAATCTCACACCCTCTCAGCTCCCAGAGAGGGAGGACAGGCAGGCTGACGGGTCTCTGCCTGCTGTTGACCGCGTTTCAGGGAAAGTGATAAGTGTGATTTTTATTTCCCAGGCCCATTTCACATCAACAGGCTTGTGCGCCCCTCGCTTATCTGCTCTCACTGGGACCGAAGGCAAAGAGAGGAGCATGATTGCACAAAAGGAGATGAGGAGCTTTGCAGTCGCAAACAAAATCTCAATCTGGGTGGATCTCTGGGGCCGCACCGTGATCTATCCTGATGTTTCATCTGGCACAGCTGCACCTCGGATTAAAAATCGAATCGTTGCAGCAGAATATGTTGCTGCGTCTCCCAGGAACCCCATCACACTTGAGTTATTTATTATTTATTTATGTCGTAATTGTGAAAGTTGATGACAAGATTCTGAAGTGCTGAAAAATGTTATGTTAAATCACAATTTATCAAGCTAATGTGAATACTGAATAGTCTGATCAACCATTAATGATACTAATTTTATCCTCTGAATGTAGTTTGTGCATTAAAATATTTATATTCACCTTGAAATCAAGTTATTAAGGGTTTAATTGGATTTGTTTTATTTTTTTTCCTTGTGCAACTTCATTAAAACCAAACACTTAAACCATTAACACACCACTGACTCCAATGTTCAGCCATGATTATGTTTCAAATTGACTTTTCTTTGAACTGCCTTTCTGTGCTTGCATAAATGAACTCCTAATTAGTGTAATATTTATGCCCAGAGTGATTATTGTGAATGTAAGAGTGATGATTAACCAGCAGCCTAGTACGACTTTCTGAAGAGGAAATCGCACAGGATGGGTTTTAACCCTTTCATTTACAGATATCTCTAAAATCTTTGTCAAACCGCAATAATGTCTCTAAATTACATGTTTAACAATGTATGAGTATATAAGGCTTTTTGTCACACAAATATTTTTCACAGTGAAGCCATCACCAAATATAAATCTCGTAAATACCTGTGAAAACAGGATTTTCACATAGATTTTTGAGAAATGAGTAATGCTTGAGATGTTTTACTCTAATGAAGTAACATTTAGATTTAGATTTATTTGACATTGTTTATTATCTTTTCAGAGTCACCTGTCTCATTTGTCATCAGATACAAATGGAAATTATTTAAATCTAAATGTGTCACGAGTAAGAAGCATCATAAAAGAGTCGGATAATATATGTCCAAGTGAAATCTCTAAAATAATTGGACTATTCCTTAATAAAGATGTTATGTAACTCAGAGTGTAACACAACAAGCTCACAAAGTTTAAAAAAAATAAAGAAAATACTGAATAGTAACTGTCAGTAAAAAGTTATTACTTTCTAATTAAGCGCAAGTAAACCAACTAAAAGACTCAAACGAATGAAATCTTTCAGCTTCAGGTGGATTTTCTGCAGGAGTCACGTTTAGATCTCACAGGTAAAAGAAGGATGTTTCAGATTCACTTCACCTCCTTTTTACTCCTTAAAAAAAATAAAACACAGTTGCTAAGACATGTCAGTGGTACACTTTCTAAACATTTAAAGAGGCTGATCGTGCTCCGCTCAATGAGACGCTGCTTACTGCAGCTGCCACAACGCAAGTGTGGACTTGGGTATTTTAGCTTCACTGAGTTTAGAGGGGAAATCTTTAAACCCACTCAGTTAAAGTACTCTGTCAGGATCTCTGCTTGACCCTTGATGTTGAGGTTGAACCGGACTATGCATGTAAAATAAAAGGAATGGCCTCATGCATCAAGAATGGAGACTTCTACACACATTAGGCAGAAAGCGCTCTAACGTGTGGCATATTAAAATTACACAGCCTAATATTATTCTGTCAATCTGCTTTAGCTTTTTAAGACAAGACCGTTCTAAACCTTTCGGAAACTAGACAACTTCTGCTAATCTTAAATGAATATCTCTGATTAGATTGTTATTATTTGCTTTGTTATCATCACTATTAATTATTCAAACAAACTCCCATATTATTTAATGAAAGGATGAGGGCACCACTTTATTGCCTTGGTGATAAATTCTCAGTGCCTTGCAGTGCGACAGAAACCTCCGTAGACGTCAGATTCACCGGGTTCGGATGTAAAACAGGAGATTTAACACTCCTACTCTCGAAATGCATGAACCCAGTCCTCAACATCTAATTAAGGCGGTTGTGTGTTAGAGCCGGTGGGTCAGAGCAACAGCGTCTGACAAAATGTGGAGCTGATGAAGGCCAAGGAGGAGCGGCTGCAGAGCCTGCTTCCCTGAACACACAGGCACATTTTTAGAAAATGAATCTTTCATACACTTTCCTTCAGCAGGGGGAGACTTTTATCTTACTCCATTTGCATTTTTGTCACCAAAGCAATTTACATTTTTATAGCATAATTAATGAGCAAGGAAGTCATTTACATCTCCCTCCTCTGTTCGCCGCTGCATTGTCTGGAGCATATCTGATGCGAAAGGGACCCGCGTTCGGGAGGCGTGTGGGAGGGTTTCAGAGAGACAGACAGGTATCTGAATTTACAGAAAGAGAACCAAACAAATGGGTAAATTTTTTAAAGCAAAAAAAAAAAAAAAAAAGGAGGCTGAGTGTGCTGTCATAATTAAACTGGGACAAGAGGACAAGGTCTTTCAGGTGTAAATTGAGGCCAGAGCATCTTTATCTTCAGCGGGCACTCACATCAAACCCTGAGAGGCAGGACTCCGGAGCAAATTACACCATTTAAGTAGCACAAAAGGAATCAGTTCGTCCAGGTAGCATTTAAATTCCCCAGCCTGCAAAAGATGAAACAGCATAATTCATCATGATTTGGCTCCTGGTCAATGACCCAGTTCTGTCAATATCTCATAATAGTTTCTGATGCGTTATATATAAATTGTTGGGAGGAAATAAACACACTTATTTCCAGAGCGAAAACTTTAAAACCTTTCAAAAAGCTGAGGTAAAATAGAAACACGACAGCTTGAGGAAAACAGAAGTTAAGTGCTGCGTGGTGATAGATTTGAGTTTGCGGTTGCTTTTTAAAGGTTTTATTTGTCTGTTTTAGGAATGAATAACATTAAAGAGACATGCTGTGAAAAAGTGCGTCGTATTTCCCGACCTTTGAATTTGCGTTGAACTAAATCCAGTTTGAAACTTTCACTGCCAAAACTGACCAGGTGTTCAACCAAAGATCTAAATGTTGTTTCAGCTAGCATTAGAGCAACCAGGTGACAAAGCCACGTGTTTATTGATGTGTCTGGCTTCCCCTCAGTGCACAATGTGGCGGATGAAGACAAGCACAGGCATAAACAAAGCTTGTGAGCAGAGAGCAGGTGAACACACAAGGGATTATAAACAAATGACTTTCTTTTTTTTTTTTTTTTTTTTGAAAATGCCAGGAAAAAAGACAAAGATGTTTTTTTGTTTTTTTTAAATAACTGCGACCAAACGTATGGCTCTCAGATTTGTGTCATATAACATGTAAAAACAAATGAGCATGGTCTTTTCAGGTCACCTACATTTCAGGGCTCTCCAAAAATGTTTGCACATCTGTTAAACATAAATAAAAATCCTTAAAATAAACTTGTTTTTGATGCAGCAGCAGCATAATTTCATAGTGAAAATGTATATTTATTCAGTGGTGATAAAATACCTTGTTAAACAATAACTCTTTTTAACAAAACTGGCAGCAGCACACTATCACCAATGATAGCAAGGTTGTTTCATATTTGATAACGTTCAAATATGTAATGCAAGATGTTGCCTTAAGAAAAACATTTCTCCAGTAGTGAATAATGTTCTGCCAGTGTTTGTTGAGATTTGCAAATTAATGAAACACTTACTTTGTTTTTCTCCTTAACTGTACAGAAAAAAACTGCTAAATCTTTTATTTTTAGGGTGGATTGAGTGAAAGCTGCACAGTTTTCCCTTAGAAACTTTCATGTACTTCTGAAGCTCAGCAAACCAAATTTATCCAGAATAAAGAAAGGGTCGGAGGTTAAGCTTCTCTGCATGGCACACGGATTATCTTCTTATGTTTTGAGCAATTACTCAAATGAAACACCAGGCATATTCGTTGGTGTGACCTTATCAGAAAAGTCACCTCTGAATCTGACATTTCTGCCGTCTTTGGCAACTTCACAGAAACACTAAAGTGTCCTGCAAAAGTATTCATACCCAGCAGATATTCTTACATTATCCACACCACTCAGTGTGTTTTATTAGAATTTGGTGTGATGGACCATCAGAAAGTAGCACTTGATTGCGATGTTGGGTGAAAATGATGCTTGGCTCTCTTTCCAAGGCTGAAATGAAATTCAGGGTAATAAATTCACCTCACAAGTCACACATTACAATTTTCATATTGAAAAATAGTGCCGGCAGTACCATGCTGCAGAGAAAAGCAACCCAAAGATGTATCTTTGGGTTTTCCAACTACTCTAGTAGTAGTTGTCCTACTACTAGAACTACTAGATCTACAACAGACTGGGTTAAAGCATATCCATGTGCTAATATGGCTCAATTAAAGTCCAGACCCCAATACATCTTTGAATATGTGGCAAATTTAAAGTTCATGCTCGCAGATGCTCTCTATTCAATCTGAATTAACTTGATTTGGTTGGTAAAGACATTTTTGCATATATTTTAGTCCCTAGCAGAAAAATGTGTTCCTGTGACTCAGGGGGATGAGGTGCATGCCACAGATTTTTATTTGTAAAATATCCTGCAAAGCAAGCATTTTTGCTCCACTTGACAATTACTTTCTTACGTTGGTGTACAAATATGAAATGTGTTGATGTTTGTGGTGACAGCTGAAGTTTGAGGGGTTTGAATTATCTGGTATTATTCTGGAGTGGCTTTGATAAATTGAGGATGAAACTGTGCACAGACGGACTTCAAGGACTTCTCTAACTAAGCTCGTTTCCCCCCAATCCTATAAAAGCTGGTTTGAGCTGATAAACTGGCTAATATGGAGCAACAGTTCCATTGGCTCTGACAGCAGACTGAGATGAATTGCTTTTTCTATCAGGAATTAGGGTCTTCTGCCGCCAGGAAGTTTCTAAAAGCAGGTCAGCGTCATTAAGCGGACGGCGTGTGTTGCGCTCGTCTCTGCTGTCCCTGCGCACTGGAGACTCTCCCCACACCATTCCCCAGTGTTTTGGTGCTCAGTGCTCACACCTGAAGTGGCAGAGCCGAGCTCAGAGCGCACAGAGCTGGGTTTGGAGAGCCAGACAGCGGGAAAAGATATTTCCAGGGAGGAAGGATGCGCGCATATGGCGAGAGTTGGACGGGTTCGTTGCGAATGAATTTCTCCTCTGGGAGCTCCGTTTATTTAAAAAGAAATCACACGCGTTAAGCGTTTCTGCACGCTGCCCTTCCTTCCCGCCTGCCGTCCGAGGCTCTTCGAAGCACCATGCGAGCCGGAGAGACGCGCCTTGTGCCATGTTGAACAGCTCCGGGACCCTCCTGCTGGCTCTGACCGCGGTGGCCGCACTTCTCCCGCCATGCCGAGGCTGGAGCGACGAGGACCTCCTCCTGCCGCCCATCAACTCCTCCAACAGGTTCCTGGCCAACCTGGAGGTGGACGTGCGCTTCTCCAAGAGGTCCGTGGAGGAGAGCGACGCCTCGCCCGAAGCATCCCCGCTGCAGAGCCTCGCTCCCGCGCAGTCCCAGTGCAACGTGACGGTCCACAGGCTGCTGCCCACCTCGCTGGTGGCCCGCTGGGACAGCAGCTTCGGCTTCCAGTGTGACGTGCTCGTCTACACCACCAACAACCACGGCCGGGCGTTCTTCTCCGCCTCCTTCAACCGGGCCATCTCACCCGTGGTGATCGAGCACCTCGGGGTCACCGGGGGTCAGCAGGAGATGAGGCTGTGCGTGGGTTGCGGGATGTCCCGGTACCGCCGCTTCGGCCAGGGCCGGTCGAAGGGACAGCAGAGCGGGGACCAGGTGGCTTTCTGCTGCGTGGATTTCAGCCTGGACGAGCTGAGGGGGGACAAAAGTTGGAGGCTGAACAGGAAGCCCATCGAGTCGACACTTGTGGCTTGTTTCATGACTCTGGTCATCATCGTGTGGAGTGTTGCTGCTCTCATATGGCCGGTACCGATCATTGCAGGGTTTCTGCCTAACGGTATGGAGCAGAGGAGACCCAGATAACTGAGAAACCCACTACACTAAAGGGCTATTCCGCTGCATTTAACGACCCCAGCCGTCATAAATCTGAATAATAAGGATGGTCAGATTCCACCAAGATTATTTTAGATTTATTGCAGTCTATCAAATACAAGTTGGGATTTGTGAAACCTTTGTGAAATGTCATGAATGAGCAATTTTAAGGTTTATTTTACACGAGAACCCGTCACAAATCATACGACCAAGACGATTATTCTAGCTTTACGAAGCCTGTATTTAATTCATAAAAAAAAAAAACATTAAATACAGATTATGTAAAACATAATTTCTGATTGGTTGATTCAGTTTAAACAAAAATAATAAAGAAAAGAAACTATTTTGAGGTTTGTTTTGACATCACTAAGCTAATTTTCAAACTGGATCACGTTTGATAAATTATGCCACATAGACAGCTCAAACCAGGACATGACTATTCTAAGACAAATTTTATGAAAATATAAGCTGTGGTTTTGCAGTCCTAATTGTTTGTCTCTAAAAACAGAGAGACATTTCTCTCTTTTTTTTTTTTTGCTCAGAGACCATCTAACCTGGGCTCCGGCGTGAAGATTACAAAACCTGGACAATTAAATCCTATAGAGAACAACCCTACACTGCTGATACAGTGTATGATAGGAGGATTTTCTGAAACTCAGTTTCAGAAAATGCAGAAAATATAGAGCTGTTGTAAGGTTTTGTTTTATTTTTGTTTGTTTAATTTATTTATTTATTTTGCTTGAGACCAGTTTACATGACTTCCTTCCTGACATTTTATAGAACATTTTTACATTAATGGTTGCACTATGTGTAATTTCTGATTCAAATTTGCTAAGACTCCAAAAAGAGTCAATTGAAGGCTTTTTTTTTCCATAAGACCAACTTATTTAGTTGAAAAGTTGAAAAGTACACCACTTAAACAGCTCACATCTGAATAAAATATGTTTTTTCATATGTGAACCCAGTTGTAAAAACAACTTTTAAAAAACCTCATTTTAAAGCTTCATTTTGGCTCAGTATCACTTTAAATTAGGTTCATTTAATAATTAAAACCTATAATTACTATACACTGACGACCGACGAGCCTGGACGAGTCCATACTTTCTCTGTGTGATCCAATTTTCAAGTTGGAGCTCATGCAAATTATTTTTGGACCGTAAACAAATAAGGTTTCATGTTCCAAAGATCCCAACATATTATGTTTCTAGATTATATCTTTAGAGCAGCATAGTTGTCTTCATGTTCAACTGTCTAGGTATGTAATCATAAAGCTGGATCTGAAATGTAAGATGCTACAAACTTTTTCTTCTGTAAAAGGTTTGAAGAAAAGTTTCACTGATAACAAAGTATCTGTCCTTTAGTGCAGAATAATGCTGTAAAAGTCTGAGCTCTCTTGGTGGTGTAATTTTCTAGCTGTAGCCCATATAAGGTGTTCTAGGGTGAAAAAAAGGTACATTTGAGATTTTAAGTTTCCAACTAGAGTAGATCAAAGGTATTCCTGACTTGTTAAATGCAGTAAAATAGCCCAGCCAAGTGCTGTCGGACGCTGACTTCAGTGTGTTGAAAAAACAAACTTTAATATATGAATATAGCCTGTGCTGCCTATACTATAACTGTAGCCATTCAGTAAATGAATGTGGAGACCCTCAGAGGTTTGGGTTGATCTTTTCCCTTTAGACTCCTCCTCTTTAGGACAAACCAAGGTAAAGTCTAATTATAATAGCCAATGGTAATCTATACTGGGACCAACACCAATGTGTTTTGTACACCCTTATAAGCCTTCCTAGATAATGTCAGCGTAAACTGTGCCACCTTCTATCTTTAAATGGTGTTTGTATAGTTTTTAATCTTTTTAGACTGTTTTTGCCTTATAATATCAAATTTAGGACTTTTGCACAGGAAGCTGAACATTAAAGTGTGCTGTCACTGTGGGATACTTAACCTATAATCAAGCTCTGTAACATTTATTATTTAATAAAAACCATTATAAATACATGTTAGTTATAAAAAAGTTTAAATTATCATATTATTACATTTCTAAAGGTCTAATATATCTGTTTATTTGCATTAATGTTTCAAACTTTTAATGAAATAAATATTTAAATCCTTTAGCCTACTAGTTTTGTCTGACTCCTTTTCTGTGTTTTAAATCAGTTTGTTCAAGGCTTAACTCTGTTATTACAATTATTCTTATATATTCTTATATATAATCCAGTTAATCATAAGATAGTTTCTGTATGCAAAAAGGTTTAACAAAGTGAGCAGGCTGCTGTTTTTTTTTTTTAAAAAAAAAAACATCCATCCATTCATCCATCCATTTTCTTCCGCTTATCCGGGGTCAGGTCGC